CCCGGCCGGTTCAAACCAAAGACTTTAAAATTGGTATTTGTTGCTTCTCCGCTAAGCACGCGGCATTTAGGAGTAAGAACAAAGACTGGTCGGCTCGGAGTCAGAATAATGTGTCCGGGTAAGGTGTCATGTCATCCTGTGGACTGTTACCTTGTGAACTAGCACGTTAAAAATCCGGCTCAGCGTATCGGTCTAGTACAAAGCAGGGTTAATATTCATGTGACATTAACATGTTCTCGTCCTGAATATGTATATTAATTTGCCACTGGACGTTAGGCAGCCATCCATCATCAATCATCACCAATCATCATCAAGCGTTCCTTGCGCTTAAGTACAAAAAAAAAAAAAAAGAAAGAAAGAAGAAAAACACAAATACACACACAGAATGCTGTTATGAACCCTCTCAAATTTGAGCAATCTACATTTCTTTCTCTTAAGCCTTTTAAACGGGGACTAATCCCGTATTATCAACTTAAAGTTGTGCTAACATATATATATCAATATCAACATACAAATACCATGATGATGTCCGTCTATCACCCACCTTGCCGTTAAGTTACATATGCCACTGAATTGCCAAATAACTACAGCAGCATGTGCCTGAGTTGGAGGCATTATATACTCTCGGACATTTCTATATATATCAAATTTACTTGTTGGTTGTTTTCTCTACGCTTTTTAATTATATAGTTTGTATATTTTCAAACTTTTTGTAGTTGTACGTAATTGCTTTTGTCTAAAATAATGTCTAATATTGTACTATGCCCCTTGTTATCATATTTAATAGAAAATACACATCTTTTTCTTCTTCATATAGGAAACGCTCTGATGACTATTAGTGTTGCTATATACATAATTCCCCAATAATGTGTGAATTGTAGTCACATTTATTCCTTTATTTATTAATATGGTCACAATTTTGTGCTTCAAAAACAAAAAAAGATTGGCTGGATGGCGTCGGTGGTGTAATGCTGAAACAGAAGGCTCGAACTCGTTCTCCTCTTCTTGCCCATGAGCACCCAGGTCAGTAATTTTTCATAAAATAAATCGATGTAACCACATGACTAAGCCAGCACTAATATCTACGTAGATATTATTATATTTTAAAAACGTTGACCCAGGAAGTTGTGAAATACACAATCATAAGAAAGCTTTATGTGAAAACAAAATGCTTTATTGTCATGATAAAAAAACGCATAATCACAATTTATATCGGTAATTTTAAGTATCATTAAAAAATATTATTATGCTCGTAATCACTTGATAAATATTTGTAAACCTACTTTGTTATAAAAAAAAATATTTATAGATATATATTTTATATATACTTTAATTGATAGTATCTAGTCGTGATCAAGTAATCGTAAACCGTATGGTTACGTGAACAAATAAACCCCTTTTTGGTAAAAATAAGCAGATATTAATTTTATTTATGGAATTTGGTGATAAATTGTTAATGCATTTTACATCAAAATTAATGATGTCAAATTTTTACAACAGGATATATTTAGGATATAACATTATTGTATTTTAAAAGATTTGACTAAAGATTTTTGGTCGATTTTAATGACTTTTTCTAGATCACTTCATATGTACTAGATAAACATGGGGAACACATTTACAAATATACACAATAAGCAAACATAGTTTACATTCATTTTTAAACTACAATAATATTAAAAATAAGTATATGTGCAATTCAATAATGAGTTTTTTTATATATAGAGAGGAATATAGCATAGCTGGCTGAGTAGTCTCTGGTGCTGGACACAGTGAAACCGGAGATATCATGATGCCACAGAAGCATGGGCCTAGCTGAGGGAAAGACACAAAATTGCTACCACAAATGTGCTGATCTAACACTTTTAGGCTAAATTCATATATTATATATATAATAGCTTGTAAAAGACCAAAAAAGTGAAAAAGTATATTTTAACAAAACGCATTTGACTTACAGGTCGAACAACAGATGTTCTTAAACCCTGCCGACTGCCATTGACGATTGCCAAATAAATTGATCACCAGGTGTAACAAAATGGATCTTAAATATAAATTTAATATCGAACAGAAAACAATAAACTTGCGGAAAAGATGGTATACCGCAAACTTGAGGTGCAAAAATTTTTATACACCATATCCGGATTTCGACAATTAATGTCTCTTCAGTGATGTTAGGGATCGAAACAGTATTTGGATGGCCATATAATTTACCTCAATTTAGGATAGACTCTTGGATATTGAAGAGTCGAACTAGGATGAACGGATCCTATAAACCCGAAGGAAAATATAATACAAGCATAAATAAACATTTACAATCATACATATGTCATAAATAATTTTTCATTTAAAGTCCATATTAATTATAAATATTAACTTCCAAAATATATAAATGCACCAGTCACATCCCATATTAAAGACATCAAATTCAGCAATCTGCATTATCTGAAAAAGACTAACATCTTCGATTTAATAAGGTATAACGCATGTACAAAAATGTTCAAGTAATACAAACAAAAACAAAAACAAAAAATGGGCAGGAGGGTGGGTAAATTAAACGTGTTGAATTGACCAGTAAACTAATTCAAATGACAAGGGAATATGAAATTTGCCAGAAGTGAACAGATATTACTATCAACCAATCAGAGGAGATTAAAATACGAACGATAAATTATGCATACAAACAGGTAACGAGTTATGTCGAAAGTATCCGAGATGGAATTAAGCATTTTTAATTAATTAAAAATTTACCAAACGAAAAAATATAAACAAATCTAAATTGAAATCAACGTTCAAACCTATGACTGCGTTGGATAAAAAACGCAATTTTTATACGTGTGCATGTAAAACAAATGTCTTGGTAGATTGGTCTAAATACAGCACAAACAACATTTTCCAAAAGACCTAAAAAGTGAAAAAGTATATTTTAACAAAACGCATTTGACTAACAGGTCGAACAACAGATGTTCTTAAACCCTGCCGACTCTGTTGTTCGACCTGTTAGTCAAATGCGTTTTGACGCTATAGTTCTATTTGGGATGATCTTTGATCGATTGATTGACTGTGTTTAACGCTACTTTCAGCAAACTTGGCTATCATCATGACGGCCAGTTTTTATTTGTAGAGAAAGCAGGAGTACCCGGAGAGAACCTCTCAGCTTGTAAAAGGAAAAGTGGTGATCCTAGTCAATTAAGATCGGAGTCGAACTCACAACCTTCTGTGTCGCTGGACAAATATTTGTCAGCAAGGTATAGTACCAATTAAAATTATTTGAAGGTCATTTCAAAAATATTTCATCTTAAGTATTTGAATGATTGGAGAGAAAGTGTTAGGTTTGAAAAGAAAAAAAGAGGGGGAAATGTTTGGAAATCTGAAAGAAAAATTTAAGGTGTTTTAGCATTTTGATGATGGGTTTTCGCGTTTTTTGTTCCAATGTGGAAATATTGAAATTTTTATATCACTGTTTTTTGATCAGATAAAGTTTAAAAAACTGTTGGCGAAAAAACCCGCAAAAACCGCGTAATTAAGTTGCAATATACCTAAAAGTTGCCATTGTCCAAAGTCTTACAAGATATCTGCGGACATCGCTAAGAAAGTGGAGCGCTACATGTCTCTTTCGGTCTAAAAAATGAAGTACATGTATTACAAATTCAGCATTTGTTAGGTATGTTTAAAATGTAAACTGTAAGATAGTTGAAATATAGTTCATATCAATCGGTTTTACGGTCGAAAGATATCAAAATTAAAATCTTTGTCAATAAAAAAGACAAAATTTGCATATTTTCACATGCTTTGGTTTCTTGGAAATATTGAGCACAGGCGTGTAAAAAGTGCATAAATAGTACATACAAATTGTTGTTCATATAGACACACACTGTGATAGGTTCTTGCACATGGTGTATATTTGCGTGTAAAAAACTATAGAAATATGAACCAAGTCTATGATTATTTTCTCTCACTAAAACGCACGCGTAGAACACAGCATGGCATTCTCGTTTTTTCCTCATTAACTCCACTATAAATAATGAATTGAAAATTTATAAAAAAAAATTATGACCGAATAAAGCCCTTATTCCACAATGTCCTTTATCGTTGCTAAGATTTACTCTAGTGACACATTCAGAAATTCAATGTAAAAATCTAATTCTGAAGTTTATTTTACCATCTAGCGATCGTCGTTCTGTTTCTTGTCTAAAACAGCAACTTTTTGTTGAAATACTTAACTCATCGTTTGTCTCCACCTGGTGGGATTCTATAGCAATAAAAATTGCTAGCAGCAATGTTGTTTTTCGTTCTTCCAGTCGTGTTGCTAATGGTTGATAATTCTCAAACTATTTCCGATCATTCATTAAGCTTAATACACTAAATATATTATCATCTAGCTCAAGGGAAATTTATGTTTATTAGTTGTTTGTTGGAACCAGGTTGGCACATTTTTTACTATGGGTTTTTCAAAAAACTTTGACTACACATAAATTCTAAGACGGTAGGAACGAATCGATTCGATTAATAAACAACATACATTTCGAGTATAGGTTGGCCAAATGTATAAACATACGGTTATATTATCACACATTGCTATAAACTTTTTAGGACCTCTCAGTTATACCACAATTATTCATTTTACAGAAGGAACAAACCAAGTCTACCCCGCCCCTCCTCCCCACATACACACAAAATAAAAAAGAAGAAAACAAAAATCAAAATATAAATGCGTGGTAGGGCAATTTTTAAAAATTTTAAGACGTATTTTCTTTTGCTATATTCGATCTGCTATTGTTTCAAAAGTGAATCTGTGATATAAAACCTTTACCAACACTTTGAGAATCATTAACATTTTTATGTATATCGAATCCATTGTCTCTTTTCTATTAACTTTTGAAAGATTATCAAAGGGTGTATTCAAAATATAGAAACAAAAACAAATTAACAGGACCAATTAAATTCAGGACGTATTGTGAAAAGTATTTTGTTTGACGTAATCAGTTCATTAAATAAACAAGGGAAATGATTATATCAGTATCAGTTGTGTAAAGTAAGAATCATTTTTTATTTTTTTATCAATTGTATTTAGGCAAAACATTGAAAATATTAATATTGTTTAAACATCGATATTTAAATTGCAATTTCCTTTTTTGTTTTAAGCTATTCTCATTATTATTTGCATCAAGAGCATTGAAGTCCTTAAATAACTACATAACGCCTCTTGTCTCGCCTCGTCTAAGTCCAGGAACCGAAACTTAGGTGTGCTGATTCCGGCGACGTCGGACAAGGTCAGTTTAAGAGGAACCACTGGTAAGTCAATGTTATTTGGCATGTAGTTTTATCAGCATTAGCATATCTCATATCTGCCCCTCACTCCTCGTAATGGTCTATTGAATTTAAAACTTCTGCATAGTTAAAGTTTGTAATCAAGTCAGTTTAAGATGAATGCCTAATAGTTAGCCAATGTTATTTGGTATGCAGTTGTAGTAGTATAGTGTGAACTTTGTTTGGGTGGGTTGAACTGGGTTACTGGACTTGCTGATGTTTGTATATGTAATGTGGGTGACTGTGTTATACTTGTATGAACTTGTGCTGGAACTGCACTGAACTGGAACTTTGAATACTGGAAGAAGAACAAGCTTGTATAAAAATAGATGTTTATTGTTTGCTGGTCACGAATGCAAGTGTATAATAATAATACATTGAACAATGAACATACGTAATGAAAACATACATATAGAAACATGAATATAATTAAATATATCAGTAACCCTGGTATTTGAATAATGCGAATAAGAATAATTAACCCACCCAAAAGTATAGTTCACTTTAAATGAATAGGGGGAAAGACTAGCTCACTTGAAATAAATATGAACTTGAACTGGGGGAATGAAATAAATATGAACTTGAATAGGGGGAATGAAATAAATATGAATTTGAATAGGGGGAATGAAATAAATATAAATTTGAACTGGGGGAATGAAATTAAAATGAAGGGAGATAATTTGAATAGTATATTTTTCAGTTTCTATGGAAACAATGCCAAAGTAAGTTTATCTCATTTAAACCTGTTTCTGAATAAACAATTAATGTAATTCTAAATCAAATAAAACAGCCAACCAAAAGCTATGTACAATGTGCCAGGTAAATATAACTGACAAACACAAAATAAACATAAATGCAAGAGCACCCCCCTTTTCTATGCACTGGCCGTTTGAATGAATAATTGCCATGAGAAAATGTTTATGACGTATGTGCGTGAAGAATTGAATGTTACGCATAATAATATGAATAATTGAACACTATAAAACATCTTGAATAGTCGAATAAATGAAGAACACATCATTTTCTGTTTTGTCAAAATAAACGCTACTTCAGTAAGGGGAGTAACTCTGCAGTGATATGAACAATGACCCAAAAATAAAAGAACTTAAAGTACTAAAAGAAAACCGTAACTAACTATATACAAAATTGCTTCTAAATGCTTAAACGAACTAAAATAGTAAAATGCATGAAAATATCGCATCGTTTAATTATCTAAAGGAATATAGATTGAACGAAATTGAATAAAGCATATCGAAACACGCACATTAAATAAAACATATTGAGACACGAATATTAAAAATAATAAAACTATTTACAAAAACTAATTGAATACTTATTCTGAACTCTTGAAACTATAGAAAATACTTGAATTAAAAGAATCTACTCTTGTAACTATTATTGAATATATTTTGTATAAAGAATTCTCTTTCGAGTGCGCAAACTAACTTAATTTAAATAAACTGTTAAGACTTCAACTATATCTATACAAATAATGTAATTTATGAACTGGAAAGTATAAACGCAAAATACATGAATATGAACAAAAATGCTACTTTTTCTGTCTTAAAACTTTGTAATAAAATCTTAGCATAAAGAAATATACAATAAATAATTTAACTTGACTCACCTGGAAGAAGAACAAGCTTGTATAAAAATAGATGTTTATTGTTTGCTGGTCACGAATGCAAGTGACCAGAAATGCTTGTCCAGGTTTCAAGCTTGGTTTCCAGGTGAGGTTAATTTGGGGAATTTCTTATGATTAACAAAGGAAAAACTTTAAATAATCCTGTGGGGTACCTCAGGGTTACTTAAGGTAACGCTGTGAATCATGTGACTCACATATGTCACTTAGAGAAGGATTAACTAAATTATTGAGAAGGAAATTGTACAAAATTATATAATCCTTTATTTGCTATCTTTTGTGAAAAAGTATTTGTTAATTGACTTGTAAATTCTTTATATAATGTAATATTACCAAACAATGCTATGAAGATTAAAAGTTACGAAACTATATTTTTCCATGTGAAATTAGATATCTGTAAAGTTATAAAACTTAGAAATGAACTTTTATTATAAAAATCATGAAAATAAGAATCTTTATTAAAACATATAAATATATACAATAAAACATGAAAATCTGAAACAAGAAGTCAAACGTGAATTTCCGCTGTCACAATAGCACAATTCATTTCATAAAGAGTGTATGGCCTCATCCCCTTAACGATTACTTATTGGTTTTAGAAATTTTTACATAGTTTACATGTTAAAGTTTATAAATATGTCAGTTTAAGTTGGACAACTAATGATAAGACATTTATATTTGGTATGGAGTTGTATTAGCTTTGACATATCGCATTTCCATGGCGATTATTTCGCCATGCATCCGCAGTCATAGTTTATTGACTTTAAATGTTTTTCACAGTTTACATGTTAAAGTATTGCCATTTCAATATCAACATTTGTATTTTACTATCAAAATTATATGCAAGCGATAAATCTCTGTGTAAACAGTTTACTTGTCATTTGTAATGCTGCGTTCACACGCAATTCGAATTCGATTCGCATTAACTAATTCGAATTAGTTTAATTCGCATTCGAATCGTTTTACGTCCAAACGTTAATTCTAATTCGAATTGCATTACGCGTCAAATTTGCTTTACTGTCCGAACGACGTTAACTTTTAATTCGTATCAACAAAAACGGATTTCTAATGCGAAATGGTTAATGCGAATTAGCCAATTCGAATCAATTCGAATTAAAAAGGAAGAGTGTGTGAACGCAATTAGCGAATTCTATTCGCATTCGATTCGAATTCAATTCGAATTAAATGTACGTGTGAACTAGGCATAAGAGTAGTTCATTTCAAATTCTTTTTATAGAAAAAATGAATAACTGAATTGCTGGTTGTATGGATCGAGAAACAAAAGACTAAGAAGAGCCATAGGTAAGAAGATATGGTTTTTAATCTTGAATATTATCAGAATGTAAGAAGATTAAAAAGCTAATGAAAGATACCAGCCTTAAAATAGTACTCAATACGCACATTTCATCTACATAAAGACTCATCAGTGACCATCTATCATTCGGGATAAAAAAAAATCATCCGTGTTTCGGGTGATTATAACATCCATGAACTGTAAATTTACAGAAAATCACTGTGTCCATGATAGTTCATGTCAGCACAGAAGTGCTTACATGTACTACAAGCTACATTTAAGTTGTATATATATACAGTATCTTGCACAGATTCGGGAGAATAAATAATATGAGGTTGTGTAAATGATAAAACAATCTCCTGAAATACGAGGAGTTTTATGTTTGTTTTATAATTAGGCGATATCAAATTCTCAAGAGTTGTTAAACATATTTCTCTTATGGTCAACACTCTCATTTTGTTAAATTAAAAATTCCGCGAATCGTTGTACTAGTCTTTTGCAAATACCAGTATGACGTCATATGTCCTGTTCCGGTGTCAAACTTTATCATCAGACATTTTAAACTGTTTGTACGCTTCAGAATGTAATAGAAATTGACAGAAAGAAGATTTGCAGGTGAAAGTGTGAGTGTTTTGCCTTTTGGAAATCACAGATGTCTGTTGCCATGGACGAAATGTACATCGTTTTAACCTTTGAAACGCATCAATGACGAATAACCAACGAACATGTCGTAATATTGTCTAATGATGCTAGATAAGCCAACCAAATTAACGCAGTTTTCGTATATCTTTTTCGTATCACACTCCATTCAGTGTGATACGAGAAATATCTCTTCATGCAAGAAATAGATAACAGGCCACAACCATAAGAGAAAGGAAAATAATGAATGGGAATAAAAGACATAGCTGAACGCAACTAGTTGACTGTATGTCAATTTTGTATGGTGAATATCGTTTTCGTTATCTTATTTTACAGCATTCATCTGAAGGAAATATTTAAATCAATTTGTGTGCGTTTCTTTTAAATTAATAGCGTAGTGACGATGCTTTTACCTGAATATTTTCCCGATGATTTTAATTCACTGTTACATCAGCATAAAATGATCTAGCTGAAAATATGAGGATACCGCGGATCGCTAATTACGTCATCCGTACTATCACCGATAGTTATTAGTATTTACATTGCGGAATTTAGGTTGCTCTTTTGTGAACCCTACTTAAGTCAATATATATATATAAAAGAAAAGACATTGATAAAGGTTTTTCTCGTGCTAACAACACCAGCAGAGATGAACTTTTACAATATAAAGTCAAAAAGGTCAACAGGAGGGTGCCTTTTGTGTTGACTTACCATCCAAAATTTGACAACTTATCTCACCTAATCCGCGAAAATTGGAAAGAAATCGAAAAACATCCTAAACTATCCAAGATCTTTCCCGAGCCACCTGTACTGGCTTTCCGTAGGCCCAAAAGCCTTAAAGACTTGCTGGTGAGAGCTGATTTATCCTCTCAAGCAGGCTCTTCGTCAGTGGGCTCTTGCAAGGGTTGCGGAAACAAACGATGTCTGACTTGCAAACAAATACTGGTTACCCAGACTTTTAACAGTCACTCCACTGGTACAGAATACACCATATTTTGCAATGTTAATTGCAAGACTACAAATGTTGTGTATCTCCTACAGTGTAAATGTGGTAAACAGTATGTTGGCGAGTCAGAACAGCCGTTTCACAAACGAATGAACGGTCATCGTAGCGACTACCAATGCAAGCCAGACCTCCCTCTCAGTCGACATTTGAGATCCCCTGGCCACACTAAGGCAGATCTCAATCGACTGACCATTACAATCATTGACCACAACTCTGCTTGGTCTAGGGAGGAAAGACTCACTCGGGAAAGATTTTGGATAAGAAAATTAACAACTTTGGCACCAAATGGGATAAATGAAAAGATGTAGTTCGACTCCATGCAGTGCTTCACATTTGGGTAATATTACTTTTTATTACAGTCTCTGTTTCTATTTCTTTACCTTAATCATCTCTAAAATAAATCTGTTGAATATACCAATTTAAATTGCTTAATTTTTTGAGGGATGTAAAAGTACCAAGCCACGTTCAACTAGTTAACCTTAGTCAAAATTTATTATTATATTTTAACGGCCGTTTGTTTGCGATGTTTAAATACGCAGACTCTGTTGCAACTACTCTACCGTTGTCAAATTTGAAATATTTACAAATTTAGATCGTTCAGTGCTGTTTATTTGGAATTCTTATTGACGCAATCGTTCTTGTAACATCATAACTGTCGTCACCGTTAAAGCTTTAGAATTGTGCTAGTTCATATCGCACATTTTTATTTTTATTTAAAGCATATATTTGAACTCTCTGTTGTAATTAGTCATATAACCTATGTCGTGTTTAACACATATAACACCTTCTGATTCAACTTGTCAATATTCTGATTTGTCAAATATGGAGAGTTAGCAAGATTCTGCTTAATAACACCTCCTTAAAATTTAGACAACTGATTTTTCTCCACATCTTAAAAGAATTTGACAGCTGTTGATACAAAGTGTATCCTTGGGTATATGCAGCTATTTTGTAAGAAGTGCAAGATGACAAATGTAAATATACAATTTTTTTAGTCTATAGGAAAACATGAAGATTTCGGTCCCTTTTTGGCAAAATAAAATCACATTGGGTACTTGCTTCCACATGCTGAATATACTTTTTTATTCAAATAGGACTAGCAACATATGAAATAAGCCAGAGAAAACATTTCAACAATAATTTATTTAGCATGTTCAAAAACAAAATAAATGAGAATAAGCATGTACATATGAACGGTATAACTTTTTATTCGAACTTTTAAATTATGATTAATTTTTGATGAAATTCTTTTTGTCCAAGTCATCTGTATGAATAAAAACTGCATATGTGACACCAAAGTGATGACTGAATTCAGTCATATTGTCTATCTATATATCAAACATGCACTGGAACTTCCATCTTAATTAAATGAAATACCTTTGCAATATTCAATGGATGATACGTTTAAAATTAGAGATTGGTAGTAGTTGGGTGTGTGTAATACCCTACACAACAATTAAATGCTCTAAGGGGTACAGTTTTGAAAGTAGTACATGGGAAAACTGTTGACTGAATTCAGTCAATTTACAAACATCAAGAATCATATTCTTTTTTCAAAAATAGATTTTAGTATAGATAATTTATTCCAAATTGGTTTTAAATACACATATTAATGTTAACAATAATGAAAATCTTGACTGAATTCAGTCACCGGTACCATAATTCAAAAGGTACATGGGTTTGTACAGTAGAAATATCTATACAATATACAAAACAAATTTTAAATTTAAGTCTATGACTGAATTCAGTCACATATATTTATATATACTAATATCAAAATTCAATAATTGTGTGTAGTAGTTCCTATTTGCAATAAAGTTTGTATGTAATTTAAGCTTCCACTCTTTCGACCTGTCACTCAGGAATATTACAATTAAACATCCTACAATGTCTTGATAGGATGTATACACCAAAATGAATAAATAAAAACACTAAACTGTAAACAAACAACTATCTACCACCATGCAACTAAATCTCCATCTCTTGTTCCAAGAGTATCTACTTCTACATAGTCAGTTTCGCTGATGCAGGTTTGGTTGGTCATGTTGATTGGATCTATTTTCCTATGCAGAAGTGGTCGAGTACTTCTACAGGCATCTGTGAAAACAGAATGAATTGAGACGTTAAAAACATTTGCTGGGCCATTATGTTTATCTTCCCTGCCAAATTTCCAGTATGGCATGTTGGTAGTGCTTCGTACATTATGGTATCTTCCATGGTTTTAGCCACGTCATAGATTTTCAATAATTTATCTTGTGGTAAACCGGTAAACAGATGGTCAAGATTCCTATTGACTGTTTCAGGATGCCTTGCTACTTCTTCAAGCGGTGTAAGGTTGGCATATAGTTTTATCTTCTGGTATAACTCTAATGCTAATAGAAGGCATATTCTATCAGCAACATGTTCATTTTAGAAACATAACGGTATAGACAATTCCATTACCAGTAGCTTTGATAGCAAAACAGTTAGCTATGGCTGGGTCCAAATCGGTTGGTAGCAATGCTTGTGATGAACTGTCTTTTTCATAATGATCAAGAGGGCAATTTTTATAAAACCCTGTAACTGTGATTTCTTTAATTTTTTCCACTCTTATTTTCTGGACCTCTATATCATTATTATCCTCAGTTGCCAGTCTTAACTTCTCTAAGTAGTCCATTGCTCATAAAGCTTGTTCTACCTGCAAAGAAATCGGTTCTTTAAAATTTTATGTCATTTTTATTTGTTAATTCTTATATAGTTTATCTTTAACGACTATAAAGACACTATTTATCTTTAAATATGAATATCTAGACGTTCATTATTATTACTTATTAAAATCAAGCAAAATAAATCTTTAAAATGAGTATAATTTGGATAGGTTGTTTTGAGGTGGTACACTTTACATGAAATATAGTTGACGTTTGGCTTAAAAAAATAAGAAATGAACCACAAAATTCTTCAAACAATTTACTGACCAAAGAAAAAGAAAAAAAATCCAAAATATCATTTATTATAAATACAATGTCTTTAAAAAATCTATAAAACTTGTCTGTACAGTTCACAATCAACCTATAACGCTGTTCATTTGTCATCTTGCTTATATTCTTTTGTTGCATATTTTAACATCGGAATCGGACTTCTTTTGAACTGAGTTTTACTGTGCGTTTCGCTGTGTGTTTGTTTATTCTACATTGGTTAGAGGTATAGGGGGCGGGTTGAGATCACACAAAACATGTTTATCCCTGCCACAATTTTGCGCCTTTCCCATCTGGCCTTTGTTAATCTATTCTTGTAATACATGTACCTATGCCTCGGATACTACGACTTTCGTCACAGGCGATTCAAAATCTACACAAGCCGCGCCAATACTTTGACATTCACTCAGGAAGGAACGCATGTTTGCATAAAAACTTGCAACTCTGGATGTAACCAATCAAAGAACTCGAAATAACAGGGAACTTATTGATAATTTTCTGAAAAAAATCTTCCATTGCATACGTATATAATTAATCTTTCATACGATTGGAGATAACAGACATAAATATCTTCCATGAGGTACGAAATGGTTTTATCAGGTGAAATTATAAATTTTCTTGCCCCTTCCCCCCAAAAAATAAAATTTCTATCCCACTTATGCTTTAAAAGACTCGAGATGTAGACCGTAGAACTAAAATCTGTGTTTGCAAATTATCAAAACATTTATCACACGTACACAATTGGTTCAGGTTTTTTTTTCGACAGAGACAGTAGGGATGCATGTCACTGTTTTTTTGTTAACACAAATCAAAAGCATTTGGTTCAAGTCCGGTTTAAATAAAACATAAGGACATTATTCTATTTATTTCATAGTATCGGAAATTCCAGAAATGCATTTGTATCAATGAAAATTGCAATAATAAATGTTATAGTGTTGTAAACTGAAGTCACAATTTTCAATCATTCAAATATTTATTAAAATAATAAAATAACAATGAAATGCTTCGCCGAGCGCAGCCTGATACGACCGCTCTAAGAACACTTGGTGCAAGTTTGGACACAATATTCAAGTCTGGATTTGATCACATTTTTGACATAATATAGGTTTCTGACACAAAATAAATTATGTGGCCAGTGAAAGATCATAAAAATTTGAAATGGGTTAGAATATATGTATTAATTTTCAATTGAAGATTTCTGGCTATTGCGCAATACTGCGATATTATGCAATACTGTGCTATTGCGCATGTACAATTGAAGATTTCTTGATATTGTGCAATAATATGTACAGTGGAGATCACTTCTAACCTCTCATTAGAACTGTCAGAATAATCTGTCATAGAACTGTTCTAAACTGTCCTAGAACAGTTCTAAGTAGAACTGTCAGAATCAGTTCTAGGTAGAACTGTCAGGATCAGTTCTAGGGTAGAACTGTCTAAAACTGTCGTAGAACTGTCAGCAGAACTGACCAAATCAGTTCTAGCCGTAGAACAGACCAAACCTGTCAGGATTGTAGAACAGTTCTTAATGTATTTGTAGTATTTATATTTTTATCTATCTGATGAGTTAAGCCTCTTTCAACTGATTTTTATAGTTCGTTCTTATGTTGTACTGTTACACCACTGTCCCAGGTAAGGGGAGGGTTATGATCCCGCTAACATGTTTAACCCCGCCACATTCTGTATGTATGTGCCTGTCCCAAGTCAGGAGCCTGTAATTCAGTAGTTGTCGTTTGTTTATGTGTTACATATTTGTTTTTCGCTCATTTTTTGTACATAAATTAGGCCGTTAGTTTTCTCGTTTGAATTGTTTTACATTATCATTTCGGGGCCTTTTATCGCTGACTATGTGGTATGGGCTTTGTTCATTGTTGAAGGCCGTACGGTGACCTATAGTTGTTAATTTCTGTGTCATTTGGTCTCTTGTGGAGAGTTGTCTCATTGGCAATCATACCACATCTTCTTTTTTATAATTAATGACGTCACTGCAGTTAGAGCATCTCACTGGTCACCATTCAGTGTTATTATTATCGTTGATAAAGCCACACAAACTGTTTAAAACTGTTCTAGGGTAGAACTGTCAGGATCAGTTCTAGGTAGAACTGTCTAAATCAGTTCTAGGTTAGAACGGTTCTAGCTTGAACTGTCTAAAAGGTGTCAGGATGACAGTCCTACATACTGTCCTAGAACAGTTCTCCTGACAGATTCTGACAGATTTGATGAGAGGTTAGAAGTGATCTTCTTTGTAGTTGAAGATTTCTTGCAATTGCGCAATACTGTGCTGTTGCACAATACTAAGTTAATCTGTTATATATAATAATTTACACGTCCGGTTTGGTGTGTATTCCCTGCCATATCAGTATTTTTTGCTTTTATATATAAATCAGAAATAATCAATGTAAAAATGGAAAATATTATTAATAAGGTAAAAAAAAAAAAAATTTGAAAAAACTTCTCCCCTCCACAATTTTTTTTAACACCCTTGGAGTAATTAACCTCAAACTCAATCCCAGCCATCCCTTTGTGGTATGGTACCTTGCAGTACAATTTTAGATAGATCCATACACTTAAACACAAGTTATTGTCTGGAAACTAAAAAAGTGCTTGTTTTTTGCCCCTTTTTCCTGAACGTTTGGGGCAATTACCTCCAAACTCAATCCCAGCCTTCCCTTTGTGATATGGAACCTTGTGGTACCATTTCAGAGGGATCCATACACTTAAACACAAGTTATTGTCCGGAAACTAGAAAAATGCTTGTTTTTGGCCCCTTATTTATAAACCGAGTCTGTTGGTACCATAACCCCAAAATCCTAACCTTGCTTTTGTGGTATTGAACCTTCTGGTAAAACTTCATAGAGATCCATTCACTTAAACTTAAGTTATTGTCCGGAAACCAAATGTGTCTTTGGAAGACGCCTAAGCCGACGACGACGACATCATAGTATTATACGACACAAACAAAAATTTTGCCGTCGTATTAAAATGTTATTGGCAATGATCAAAATTAATTGTAATTGCAAACAATATGACTTTCGATCCTGCATAGAAGGTGCAACAATTTAAACCTCAAACAAGCGGGAAACCTCGGCAGAATTCGCTACCCTGCTACCTCGCTAGATTGTTAAGCCTGTGATCCTGAACCACTGCTCGACGATAGATCGACGGAGTATTAGCTAACGCTGACGAAATGTAAGACTGGGTTGGGGTGCCAGATGTGACGAAAGAAACCTCAATACAACATATTGTAATTGTTTAATGATTTTCACCTAAATGCAAGGATTTGTATGGTCGTGCTATACCTAAATTATTCTTGCTTAAAGATGACGTCAATTAATTTTTTTTTTAAACTGGATATTAAAATTGATGTTATTAAAAACATCAGAAGAGCATTAGTTCTGAAACAAAAGGAGATAAAAAAAAGTTCATAGGTTATTGAACTCTTTTTCGAAATATTTTATTGAAAAAGGGCGGGAAAAGGCTATTTTGCCTTATATTTAGCATTGACATTATTTGGGTCTCAAAAGAAATTGAGACTCCTTTTATGAATAATCGTCTTGTATGAAAAGAAAAGGGGGTGATATGGGGCAAAACATTTCACTATGTATCGAAGGGAAAAAAACACGGAGATCGAGCATTGACAAAAATTCCTTAACCTGAAATTCTTACTAAAATTGTTAATTGATAATTTGAATCTTTGTGTCCTGGAAAAAAGTGTTTTGAAAAATAAAATCTAAAAATAGCTTTTTCTTGGAAATTACAGGGGAGAAAAAAATCATGTTACTAAAGTCTAAACAAAATAGTATTTCTTATTCTAAAGCAAAAAAATACCCCCAAAAACAGAACATAACATATAGCTAAGTAAGTAAACAAAACTTCCACAAACAAACAGTTGTCATTTTCTACACTTAATTCATTTCTTATGCATGAAACATTACGTAGTGGAATGAAATTACATGTAAACGTTTAGAATGTCTGAAGCTGTCTACCACTTTTAGATTTTTCTCATAACATGTAACAGTAAATTTAAAATACTGATAACCACAAGCAGCAATTTAATCGATCTTAAACAAGAAAACAGAAAACAATGAATCCAAAATGACTGAAAAGACAGTGAACAGGGGTATTTGTTTTTAAAGATAACAGTTTACAAGAATGTCAATGGAAAAAATCAAGATGACAGCTAATTAGTCAATAACAGTTTACAGCACATATTTATTCAAAATAACAGTTAACAAAAGTTTGAAAATACCTAATACAACTTAGCATAAAAGACACCCCCTTTTTTTAATATAGAATTGTCCATATTTTTAGATATAGCTGGGCTAGATTTTTCTGTAATTTTGATATAATTTGTCCCCAGGGCCGAGGGGGATCTAACCATTTTCAAAAGGGGTGTCCAACCTTATGTACCCATTCAGAGGTATTGACCGTCAAAAAAGGGGGTTCACCCCATCCCCAGTAAACAATCCAACGTTGGCATTACGTTGTGACAACGTAATACTATCGTTGTGACAACGTAGTAAAATTACGTTGGTACAACGTAGTTTTGTGGACTCCAAGGCACGTGCTGACAACCATCCACACAACGTTGGCACAACGTAATTTGTGACGTAATTTATTACCATCATAAGACGTTGTCACAACGTCGCAACACAACTGTAAATGTCCCTTGTCCTCATTTGATTGATAGGAGCAATAAAATTCCATTGAAGAAGCAAACAAGGTCTATATTTTATTCTTTTGACCTGTTTTTTAAGTTGTAAATTTGTCTCTGTAGGAAAGATGGACACAATGTCGATATGTACTCTTTATTTCCAAACTGCCAGCTGTGTATAATATAGTCACAAAAGTTTTTTTTTTTACCTTTTTTCCAGGTTTCAATGTAAAATGTATAAATATTTCGTTTTCCCAAAAACTTTGCATTATAATTTACATTAAACCTGTAGTTTTGTCCAATTAATGTTTCACACAGTTGTTTAAGGTTAAAGTCTTAGTTTTTAACTTTTGCAATACTGAAGTACAAGATTTACACATTTCCATTTAACAAAAGCAACTTTTCTTTAAAAAATTTAACACATAATACTATTCGAAAAAGGAGATTTTGTATGATGGCCAACGAGACAACCCTCTATCCTAAAATCAAATATTGATGATGTTAGCAATTATAGGTAACTGTACAGCCTTCAACATGACATCTTGGTACATGCTGCAACTTCTGAATGTTTAGGGTTTCAGTGTTCTAGAATATAGATTTCACTATGATGGTGGAAATTCTAGAATGTAGATTTCACTTTAACGAAGGAAAACATTTTCTAATGAGTTATTCAGAAATACAACAAACTACCACATATACCTTAATATTTACTGTAGATTCATTCAGCTGGATTCACTACACAATGACAAGCTAGGAAAAAAGTTTGGAAAAAGGCCCAAAAGCTGACTGTCTAATTTACAAATATATATTCTACACAACTTATACACTTCTAAAAATATCCCAAATGAAGAAAATACCTGAAATACAATCAAACTAACTGTTGCTTTTTTCCATTGACCAACTAGAGATAGACCTATCCAAAAGTTAAGACTTCTTTTTTCTTGGCTTCATGAACCAATAAAAAAATAATAATATGTTTCTGAATTTTTTAATTTTTATTCCAAATTTTAGTCTTGTGTTGGTTGTATACATGTCATTCCAAATTTTGGTTTTCTGCCCTCTGATCAGCTGGTCTTGTGTTGGTTTCAGGTCTCTGAAAAATAAATAATCATAAATTATAAAATACAAAAAAAAACTGATCCAAACTTATGAATTACAGCAGTTCTTAAAAAATATCCTGTGTGTAAACATAATTAATATTTTTTCTATTGCCGGTCGTATAATAAATCTTGCAGATTCATAATTATGTTGTGCTGTTACTGAGTCAGAGATGTTTGTATCTTTGCCAATTATACACATTTTGATAATGTATGTTAGAAATTTTAACATAATTTCAAAAGTATATAATAATTTATAACTTTTAACCTTTGTTCTTATTTAAAAAATAAATTTGTTGTTAAATTGAACATGTGTTAATGAAATTATGGCTATTCCAGATAATACTATGTCCGCCCCCCAGGGACGACCATTGTTTATCCCCAGCACCGACAGAATTAATAAACTGCTTCGCTGTACGCAGCTGGATACGCCCCCAGAGGTCCAACCCTGAACAGTTGGGGCAAAAATGGACACAATATTCAAGCTTGATACAGGTCTGACTTTGGATTGAAATTAAATATTTGACATATTATAGGTTTCTGAATAAATGAAGTCAAAGAACTTGAAATTGGTTATATGAATTGAATTTATATTCAATTAATATAAAGATTTCTTGCTGTTGTGCAATACACTGTGCTGTTGTGCATTACTTAGTAAATCTGTTGTCAGACTATAAACAAATAAAGTTCAATTAATTCTCAATGTCATATTAGAAATTATGAAAATCAAAAGGGAGCTTACATCAATAGATATAAACAATTCACCAAAGTTTCATGAGAATTGCTGACAGCATTTTTGAGTTATTGTCCGAAACTGGAAAATCCCCCCTTTTTTAATGAATAAAACCCCATAACTCAGAAATGTAAAATGTAAAATTTATAAAATTCTAAAGGGAGCTTACATCAATAGATATAAACAATTCACCAAAGTTTCATAAGAACTGCTGAAAGCATTTTTGAGTTTTGTCCGAAACTGGAAAATCCCCCTTTTTTATGAATAAAACCCTGTAACTCAGAAACGTAAAATCTAAAATTTATAAAAATCAAAAGGGAGCTCATGTCAATAGATATAAACAATTCACCACAATTTCTTGCAAGTTGGTGAAAGCATTCTTGAGTTATTTTCCGAAAACTGGAAAATCCCCCTTTTTTAATGAATAAAACCCCATAACTCGGAAACGTAAAATCTAAAATTTATAGAAAAACGAAAGGGAGCTCACGTCAATAGAATTAAACAATTCACCAAAGTTTTATGCAAATTTGTTAAAGCGATTTTGAGTTAATGTCCAACATGTTGATGACGGACGGACAGACGGACAACGGTATACCATAATACATCCCGTAAACGGGCGTATAAAAATAAATAAGAACAACACTCCCTTTGCATTTTGGTATTTCAAATACAACCACCCCCACATAAAATTTTAAAAAAAAGAGCCTTCCCTGGGGGGACTTAGTATTTTCTGGAACAACCAGTAGTTATTCTACAAATAATAATGAATCCAAATTAAAAAAGGAAGTTTGGTTTCTCAAAATTGTTATTTATCAATTAATTTTAGATATTCATAGGATTTTACCTTAATACATTTAGAATTTACAGCAATACAGAAAGACCTTATATCATATGCCTATGAACGCAATCTATAAAATCAACAAATTATAATTTGATAAATAAAATTAATAAAAGAAGAATGTGTCTATGAGCCACAAATGATGTTATTAAAGGAGATCACTAAAGAATAGTAAAACAGATGCTCTTCAAATTCAAACTCTGCGTTTTATGATAATAAGCATTGTGTATAAATTTCATAACATGTCGTTCAGGCAAACTAAAGTTAGAGAACAGAAACCAATTTTGAGTTCAATGTATGTACGTACAGTACAAGAGTAAAACTATATCACTCAGTGAAGGAGGGCATAAAAAGAGCTGATCAACTGATGTTTACCTTTTTATATCTTGGTCCATCTTTTTGAGCTAGCTGGTGCATGCTTAAGTGTTACTGCAATGCATTCCTCAACCTCAGACACATTGGATCTGTGGATTTTTATACAAGACTCTGGAAAAAAAATTATAAATACATTCAATTATCTTCTATATTCCTCCATCTGTTTACATGAGTGTCAGTCCAACAAATCTTTGGGAGAACTAGGTAAGTGACAAATTTACATGCATTCCAAAATTCATAAGTTTTATGATTGATTACGACATTGTTTCTGATCACATATTTAGTGAGAGTTGAATACAGCTCGTCATTGATAAACATTTAGATTTCATACCATAAATTGAACAGCAAAAAAGACGTCCTTATATACTGGTATTTCTAACACCAGTAGACTTGGTTTTACCCTTAAAACAGGGAAATTTTACCCAACTTTTCTCGACTGGATCCTAGTCTAAATAATTATGACGTCTTGGAAGGCTATTTTAATTTTTTTCTGTGACGCCTATCTACGACGACCTAGTGCCAAATAATTATGACGTCTTGGAACGCTATTTTGTTATTGTCGTTATTGGCACAATTGTTTATTCCCATGCATGTCAGACCCAGTGATACATTGATTGATTGTTGGTTGCTTAACGTCCAGTGGCAATATTTCATGCATGTTCAGGACGACCACCAGTGATACATGTAGTGTTATCATTAATAGGCAGAGTTTGTAACATGCCAAGTTTGTAATGTGCCGAGTTTGTAATGTGCCGAGATGTCTAGCTTCGCATTTGTGATATTGATAAGACTTTTATGCTTCCAACATTATAAAAAAATAACAGTGCAAAAGACACTTGCAGCCTTAATATATAGGGATAGTAGCTCTTGGCATGGATAGAAAACAAGTGCCTGTGGCTGTGCTGTGCATCCCCCTTTTTTTTACTTTCTGCACTACAGTTAATTTCATATATCTTAAAAAAACAACACAAGTTAATCGAGCAATTTGAAAAATGGATTCAAATAACACAAATTTTGGTTAAAATATCTTGTATCAGTGCAATATAATATTGACAGTAAAATAAGAAGTACATGTATCATATTTCAACACGGTCACGGACAACAGACTTGAAAGAGGCGCCCAACACGGCAACAGATGTTTTATTTTCTTCAATCATACTTGTTTTATCATGGAGAAACTTTTTGGCGTAATGTGCAATTATTATATTACCTTTTTCTTTGTTCTGGAATCTGGATCGAGCTAAATTTCACTGCAAGTTTGGTTATCACTGTTTTTAAAAATGAAGCGGTGAAAGTGCGCATGCTCAGACTGTTCATAGTATGCAGCGGTAAAACCCGAGTACTGCTGAACGTTCCACTATTTATAACCAATCGTAAAAAAACGACAAATGATGACAAAACTTTAATGATATATTAAACTATAAATATTCATATAATATATATATATTAGAACATTAAAATTGGATTTGTAATATTTTCTTGGACATTTTGGTGCAAATTATGCCTGTGCGGGAAAAAAGGGGGATATTTTGAAAATCGAAAAAATCGTGAATATATTCTAGTGAAGGTGAATGTTATATCCAGGAAGACTCATACCCACAGAATTCGTCCTATAAAACCAGATTTAAATGTGTCACTGTTATTCACAGGGTTTGTTCACTACGTTATTATAATGTTGATACGACGTAACAAAATGTTACGTCGGATTATGACAGTTTTAAGCACGTTGTCACAACGTAATAAAATGTTACGTCCTGACAGGGTACTAAATTTACGTAAATTCGACGTAATTTTATAACGTAGTCTGTACGTCTGTATCCAACGTTGGGTTTTTACGTTCCCACAACGTTGGTACGACGTAAACTCAAGACATGACGTTCAGACGACCATTAACCGACGTTGGGAGTACGTCGTGTGTTTGCTGGGTCCCTTACCCTTTGGATACGCCACTTGTTCCAACTGAATTAGTGTTTTACGCTGTAAAAACTTTATTTTGTGATAGAGCAGCACTGGTGTGATTTTTTTTTAATCTATTGTATGTTCTCGTGCCAATAGAGAGGAAAATTACCCAAAGTTCATAATATATTTATAAGTTTACTGACTTGGATTTTCCCGTACTATTTATAGGATATCTGATAAGGAGTTGTTTTTATTAATCACATATTCTTGCTGATTTGGGACTGTGAAAAATTAAAGAATTTATTTTCTTCGATGCAACTGTCCCGTCCGACAAAGTCTTTCTCAGTGAGTTAATGGAAAGTAAGGCGTCCTAGATTTTATCCTTCCTAAATATAATTTTATCGTTGTTGATATCCATAAATCTGTTTGCGCATGTCACTACAGTGGAACCACAGTATCCGTGAAAGGCTTACAATTTACTGTATTCGATACATACAATATCATTTTCGAATGTTCAGATTTCAATTCCTAAGTTTGACTGTCGAATATTGATTAAAAATTTTAAGTTCCTTTGCAGTTTTTGAGAGAGTTCTTTAATTTTCTTACCTTGTATTTTAAAAGAGCTCAATACTGGTTATAGTATATGTATACTTCCGGTTTATAAATAAAGCGCGCTTTTCAAACTGCGTAAACACATGGCAACACTGAGATTTTTTAAACTGATATATCATAAACCTTTTCTTTTCATTTTTTGTACCTATGAACAGTTTAATTATATTTTGAAGTCAGAAAAATACAGGGGCCCTGAAACATAATAGGGAACACATTGTGTTTATAGTTTTTTAGGAGCCTGATGCCCTCTATCTCCCACAGTTGTCTCGTACTGATTCTTTTTGTGTGAGTGCCATATCACGTCTTCAAAAAGTCTGATAGTGTTTTATAAATCTAACGTCTAAGAAATTAAAGAAACTCCATTTCCTTGAAAAAAGGTGTTTGATAAAGGTGGTTTGTGGAATTCTTACCTATTTAGAGCTTTAGGATAGGTGGTAAGTCTCCAACGACGAGAACACATCTAACTTTGCCAATTTTATGAATTAAAGGGAACTACCAAATGAAGATCAATGTCTATATTAAATTTTTAACTGAACGTCTTCCTGTCAAATCAGTTTAAGCGCGGAATGTTGTTTATACATAGGTTACATTAACCTTAACCTATGATTTATTACAGTTGAGAACATTGGGATGGGTGTTACGGAATTTCAATGAATGACCACAGCTTAATGAGGTCAAGAGCAACTCTGCAAGATCCAATTAAAGATAATAACAAGGTCACTTAAAACCTTCTGATTCAGCATTGATCAGAGATATTGTAAAATAAATGAACGGAGATTCACACTGAGTTATACTAGACTAAGTAATTTATTATATTATATATGATATGATATGAATGTAGCCCCTGCAATATCAACAAAATTATTTTGGTACAAATTATGTTATAATCAATATTACATACGATAAATATCGTTGGTTTTAATGTTAACCAAATACAAGTTTCCCAATTAATTCTTTGAAACTCTTGAGATTTGTAGAAAAGTTCACACTTATATAGCACGATTTTGTAGAGGGTAATAGTTTCTAAGCTGGCTTTTTTTTGTACACAATAAGTTTTTGAAGTAAACAATTCATATCATTTCAATAACCCCTTCCCTCCCCCCCCCCCCCCCCCCCCAAAAAAAAAAATCAATGCATCTCGGGTCGTTTCCTCGGGTAGGAGTACTGTTACACATAAATATCGCTTCAAAAATTGGTGAGAAAATGGTAAACTTAGGACATCTATAACAAAATTGATCTATCATCTGCGAAAAAAGCTGAGTGACAGATACAATAATCATATTCACAACTTTATTTTCACTAGTAGTGAATTAAATTTGTGCGTTTGTACATTGGGACACTGATCCCTGTGTTGTTTGTTGAAATACATGTCTACCTCGCTTGCGATGATTTTTTGTTTTGTGCCGTTGGGTTTCTGACTAATTTTCTTTCACTCTCATATCATTTGATTCACACCTACCACTTTTCTGAAGATCTGCTTTAATTTCCTCAGGATTTTCGTTGAACCCATGTTCATGTTGCTCTTTTTTGTCATTTTCTGAAACAATTTCATTCAACGATTGTACTATATTTTGTCCATAGGACGTAAACATTTATCTTCAACATCTAGAAAACCTGTTTAAATTTCTATGTAAATTGTTATAAATTAACACATGAAGATTCAAAAAAAGAAATTTTTTGGTAAAGGTATAGTCTACATACCTGGTGTCTTTTTATTTTCTAGGTTGTACCACTGTCTCACTTTGTCGTCTGTATCCCAAAAATTCCTCTTGAAATCGATTGCAAATCTTTCAGTTTTCGCACGATCACCCGTGAATCCAAAAAAAAATACGATTAGCAATCTATTTCTTTTTTTTTAATATTTTTTTTATATTGAGTATGTATGTAAAGATCAAGAATAGAAACTTGATGTTGAATAAACTGTTTGTCTCCATTGTTTAATTGCTAAAGGGGCTATTGAAAGAAAATAGTGCGTATACTAGCTTTAACGGGATGACTAAAGCTGCAATCGAAGGTAGGTTAAAGCTGAACACGGTACAGTAACCGGCTACATTCTCGTTAGAATTGTTTTACATATGTGATTCCGGGGCTATTTATGGCTGACTATGCTCATTGTTGAAGTCCGCACAGTGGCCTATAGTTGTGAATTTCTGTGTCATTGGGTCTCTTTTGAAGAGTTGTCTCATTGTCAATCACACCACATCTTGACTTCTCTTTTATATACACATTCATAAAACGGTCACCAAACAAAAGTCATCCCAGCGACCTCTACAAAGATGTTATGGCCTGACGAGACAATTCATGGTGACCATATTTCTATACGCAAATCGGGTTCGATCACTATCGGAGTAATTTTACATAGGATGAAAAAACCATGATATTCATAATTATGATAGATTACATTTTTGCAGTCGTATAAAATGGTTAAGTGACAAAAATGAAGATTTCAGTCATTTATATAAATTGCAACTATTGATCTATTGATGTTAGAATAAAATTTTCTATTGTTTTCCCTCTCTTTCCTTCCTTCTATATTTATTTCTTTTCTCATTACATGTGTGTAAAGGTAATTATCAATAATAATGGAATTAAATCCATACATTTAATTTCAGGTCCGTAGCCAGGAATTTCTATGGGGTTACATCGACTCTTTGATAGTCACAGTTCAAACAAAATCTCAACTTTAATAGTCAAAGTTCAATCAGAACGTCGACTTTAAATGAGCTTATTTGTTTTCAAAGAGGGGTTTGTACGAATCCCTGAACCCCCTTTTTGGCTACTGCATGGCTTGTTAAAATATGTATCTGTTGGTTCAAGTCTTAGATTTTGGAGTTAAGACAGGTCGTTATCGATATAGAAAAATAAATGATTAAATCATGATCACTTGAACAAGTAATTTTATTAGGATTATGTGATATCCAAGTTACAAATTTGCTATATATATAAGTTTTCATTGCTTTATGAGTTTGGGGAGGAGAGGGGTATTTTTTTACGGTATCTGGGTATATCATAAGAATACAAGGATATGGGAGATCGACGTCGTGAGAAAACAACCGAACGAAAAAAACAGCAATTACACGTAGAGGATATCCGAGATGTCCGACATGAATTAAGAAGAAAAAGAGCACAGTAAATAAAATACAGACAGCAATACCTGTCCTTATCTAGATTTTAATACTTCACGGGAAATCTTAGACTAAACTTAACGACAAAAGAGACGATTTTTCGTACCCAATTGTTAATTTTCCGTTTGATTTTCCTTTAGCCCCCTTCTACCTGTACATATTTCACAATGTGTTAACCATGCTCGTTACTGTAGTCCTGTTTTAGGTTTCAATGAACGTAATTTATGTCTTACTGTCCGATAAAGTTTTAAGTCAGGAATTTCATTACCACAAATGTTTTGTAACCTTTCCAAAATCTTTCAAAAATGCACTGATTTGGTTGGGAAGGTCGGCTGTATCTGTAGAGTTCTTATTATAAACGGTATATCATACCTAATCTAATACAGCAATATGGTTTATAAAGCCCGCACATTTAGATATATATATATACGATCCACGTAAATTAATTGGTCCTTTAAATAATGTTATCTTAAAACGTTATCAATTTAAATTGTTTTTATTGGCATTCACATTGTTTTTTTTAAATTAAAACATAACTAAATATATAACTATATTTGATTCTACATCCTGTCGATACAGTTTACTTATATTTTGGCATTGCACAAGGTCGTGTATGCGTTTCTTAGAATGTTTTAACACTAAATCCGTTGGAAGTGTAATGAGTGATACTTC